ATTTTAATATCATTGAACTGATAATATGGTTAAACAAGGAAAAATATTATTAATGTTAAATAATGCACGATAAAAGTAAATAAATATAAAGGAAATTATAAGAAATGTATGTTTTATAGTGAATAAGGAAATTGTACTTGGAGCGAGTAAAAATGAAACGAATGTTGATATTTAAAAATTCTCTTCATTTTAATTATGGTTCATGTAACAAACTGCAATGTTTTTTAGTAAAAAAAGTAAAGTGAATTCGTAAAATATGAATATAAAGACTGTGATTAATATTACCCGTACTTGTATATGTTAGAACTTTTTTCCCAATGAAATTTTTATTTTACTATTCTTACAATCTTACTAATGGTCTTTGACTTTTTCAAAAATCTATTCCTGTCAATAGAAACATCGATTAATGATATTTATGCGAATTATTGTTATTTTTCCGAAATATTGTTTTCTCATCCAATGACTAGCTTCATGTGTTTATGAATATTACAATTTTTAAACGCAATTGATTTTTTTTTAATTTTTTTATTGCTTTAAGAGTTAAGAAGTTATATAATATTTCTTATTATATAATACAGAATAGCAATACAGCCATTCTCTTATAGTTAAAAGAAAGTTTTGCGCGTAATCGGAAAAATTCTGTTAAAATATTTATGAATGATAAATATTGAAATGAAAATGAAGTATTGAGATATAATAGGTATTAGCTTTGTAATAACTATATTATGTTTGACAAATCAGTTTAATGTTAATTTTAAATATCGCCATGCATTGAAGTGCGTATAATTACAAAGTATTCAACATTTCGAATGAAATAATTTTTTTTCTATAATTACATATATATATATATATATATATATATATATATATATATATATACATATACTTTGCTTATAAATAATACTTGTACATCAAACCAGATCAATTGTCATAAAATAATGTTTTCAATAATTATATCTTAATATATTTAAATGGCACCAAAGGCATAAATATGATAAGGTAACAAAGATTGTGAGATTAAAAATTGAGATTAAAACTTGAGACTAATTAAATAAATAAATAAATTTGACACATTCATGCGTTATACATAAAAAGATTCAGAAAATTAATTCAGAAAACAATTCAGTGTTAGATGGATAACATTATTTTCAATGATTTTTCAATTTGAATTTATAAAAAAAATTTTTACTTTACCTATTGCTTTAAAGAATTTTATAAGATCAAGCGTCAGTGGAATAAAAACTAAAATAAGAAAGGTACTTTAGAATATAATTTTTTTTCTTTCAATGATTATAATATAATATTCAAAAACTATTCTGTACGATGCATTTTCTATAGAATATTAACCTAATTTATACTTTACAGTTATAATTACAAAATATAATTAGAAAATAATATATTAAAATTCTTGTTAAAAATATATTTAACTAGAAGAATATATGTGTTAGGAAGTTATATTTCATGTTTAAATAATATATAAAATTTTGTAATTAATATTATGTTATAAATATTAATATTAAACATTTTACAGATCCACTGTGATAAAATGGCTGATAGGAATAAAAATTTTTTTATATATATTATTTATCGTTAGAGACACAAAAGTATACGAATTTTGATATATTGTAAATATTTGCAAATTCATAGAGGAATTTTTCAATATTCTTCACGTGTAAAATGAAAAGGTTTTTTATACGAAAGTCTGTGGACAACAAAATATTAATTAATTACGGTCTATTTCCTTATTATTACCTTATAGTATTATTATTTTCCCCTATTTTATTGTATTCAGCTCTTTGATTTCAATACACATTCATATATCTTACAAGATTCATTTACATTTTTATAAATATATTATAAAAAGTGCTTTCTGACGTCTATATTCTGATCTATATATTCTGACGTCTATATACACGTACTATTTTCTTTTATACTTCATTTTTTCTGCTTTAAATAATTTATACATTATTCGTCATTGCCGTTGTCACTTTTTTGTTTTCGATTTTCAATACCTTCTTCGTTTACTGAAGTAATAGATAAATAATAAAAATCAGCAATTTCTTTAATAATAATGTAAAGAAACTTGGAATTATCGAAGATTTTATCAATACTATATTTATCTATTTTCACATAAGAAAATTATAGAGCACATAAACTTAAAAATCATTTATTTAATTAGATTAATGATATTTATTGATTCTTTGAATATTAAATGACCCTATTGCCAATTCAATCAATTGTTGCATTATTACAATACTATAATAATTATACTCAATAAATTTTTATAAATTAGCTTTATAAATAAAGTTTTTGTTTAGAATATTTTAAATGGCGACGATAACTTTTATGACACATAGGTCTACTGAGATCATAAAATTTTTTAATGCTAATATATTCGACAAATGCAACAGTTATTTATTATTTTTGTTGAAATTATGACTAAATATATTGAGAATATTATTTATAAGCTATTCGTTACTATATTTAAGACTTTTATTATTTTTTATTTTGTAAATCATTAAGTCAAATTCTTAAATTGTCCTATAGGGAAGCTGTTGAACATATTTTATAAATATAAAATAAAATGTTTAATTAACATACGTAATTTAGCATTACATTTATAATTCTAATTATAATGTAAACTGTTTTTGTAAACATTCAAAAATTGTTCGGCTTTCTCATCATAATTATACGACTAAATTGATTCACGCTTAATTTAATATTATCAATTTGTTAACAAATGTAGTTTAACTTATACATATTTTTTTTTTTAACATAATATACTACCTTATATTTTCTTCTTTTTACTCTTAATTTTAAATAAAACGTTGTTTTCAAGATTATTTAACATTATTTATTACGCAAATATATTTTTGTCGAAATCTTTTAAGGATTTATAAAATTAAGTAAAGTTATTATTCTCTATGATTTTGTGTTAAAATCTATAATAATAATACAGCTTTGGATTTAGAAAGTCCAATTATTCATCAAACTTAATTATTTATGTCTGTTGTAAAATTTCTTTCATTAAAGATATTACATTTTGCAAGATGCTTCAATACGTTTAAATTATTTTCTAAATTCTTTAAGTTAAACTCAAAAACAAAACGGTTTGTTTTTTTTTTTTTTTTTTTATTTGTACGTAATTTTGATATAATATAACTATATGTATTTGCAGATTGTACATATACAGTTTAGATACATTTTTTCACAATACTTATCAGTTATTCTTGAAAATTTTTACAAAAGTGTAGATTTTTTCGAATATAATGAGTAATAAAATATTTATAAAGATGTATTTTTTGTACTAATTTTTAATAATATTTCGTAAAATATATCATTATTTGCTGTCATTTTTTATTTAAATTGCTATGTTTATCTACGGCTATTTTCATTATTGCTTCTAAAGTATTATAATTTCTTTACGTCCAATGAAAGTATTTTAATCTATTTAATCTATTTAATATTGAGAATCATAAGCCAGAGCTTCATCTCTTTTAAATTTTGAATATTCATTTTTAGAAATATTTTTCAATATTCAATCAATTTCGTTTTTTTTATAATTTCTTATTCAAATTTAGAACGTCATAATTTCATTTATACTTCTTCTGTTTGTCCATTCAATCTATTACATTTTACATTTCACGTATTTTATGTATCTATTAATTGTAACTATTATTGTTTGACATTTTAGTTCTTTTACTTCAGTTATTTTTGCGCTGTACTATTTATTCTCAGACATTTACCTCCGTGTTTATCATATGTATGTATTATATACAAATTGTTATAAAAATTCTAAAAAATAGTTATGAATATGTCTTTTAATAAATGTAAATATTAGTCATATTGGCCACTTTCATTTAATTATTGAAACAGTATGAAGAATAATTTAATTAAATTAAATAATAGAATTTTATTCGTTGATAAAATTTTTACTGGTTTTTACGGTGTGTAACTTTAAGTAGTAAGGAATTAACATTTATTTGCATGTAAATTTATTATAATGTCTAGTTATGCGCATATATTTGTATGTAAGTATTTATATATTTTTTAATATATTTTTTTCATTAAATATAAAAGAAAACAGATTTTATATATAGTTTCTTATTAAATAAGTGACATTCAAATAGCCCTTTTTTTTATTAATGAAACTTTTTAAATAGTAGAATAATAGCATAGACTAATTGAGTTAAGTGAAAAATTTCGTGAATTGGAAGAATTATTCGACGTGGTATTTCAGCTCGAGTTAATGGCTGTAATTATTTTACTCGTGTGAAATAAGATATAACAAATATGAGTAGTAATATTTTATTATTGAAAGATGCGTAAAAAAAAAAAAAAAAAAAAAAAAAAGAAGTAGCCACATAAAACCTGTCATAGGATTTATGCATATCGTATTATATAAATAATGCATTGCACAATTATGTAATGGAATATTAACGAGCTACTTTCGCTACTTAAACAGATAAATACTATTTGCAATTCGTCCACTTTACGAATGCTAACTACAATTCTTAATTTTCTTACACATTTAATTCTTAATCACCTCTCGAATGTACTTCATAACATATGTTTTCATTCGCTAATCTCATTTTGTTATTTTTCTACTTTGATTTTATTGAAAAAATGAAAAATAACAATAATAATAATAATAATAATAATAAATAACAAAAATCGAGAAAATGTACTTTTTAATTAAAAAAAAAAAAGAAAACTTGTATCTTAAACTTTATCGCTACATGTAATTTTATAAAATCCACCATCTATATTAATAAATAGAAATCCGGATTTTTAGAAACAGGCTTATGTGAATTTAGCGGTAAGAGAATTTATCACTTTGGAGCGTATTCTCTTGCAATGTGGTAAAATACTGATTTTTACACTTAAAAATTATAATTCTAGAATTAACGATACTAAGTATTTTATAAGCTTTGGATGATTTACGAAGATTTTAATTTTTTTTTTTTTTTTTTTTTTTTTTTTTTTTTATTGCATTATAGTCTCGATGGCAGATCCTGCAAAGATGAAATCTACAGAATGGGTCTTGGTGCGAGCTATTGCGAGGGAAATCTGAATTTCGCAACGGCATCCGAGGACGATGAAGTCTATACGAAAAAGAAAGTGTCGAGGGTGAGTAGGCACAATTTCTCCTCATTAAATTACAACGTTTTATGATATATATCCTTTTACGCTTATTTGCACACTTTGTGTTTGATATTTATCAGCTTCATTCATAAAAGATTTACTCAAATACTATTTTTCGGGCCAAATTGAAAAATAGGCTTACAGAAATTTTTCGTACTATATTTACTTATTTATTGATATTGCCAATAGAGATAATTATTATATTTTTTATGCAATAACGACCAAAGACTAATCGATGCCGCATTAATTTTCATACATAAGCCGATGATTAAAAATTCATGTAACAGATTGTTTTTTTCTTTTTTCTTTTTTTTTTTTTTTTTGTCTCTTTTTACATAAGTTTTTTAACGCATCGATTTCTGTAATTCCATTAGTGTATACTTTTTCAAGTACTAGCACGATAAAGGATGACCAATCGATGCTAAAATGTTTAATTTAACGAGTGAAATATAACGACGCAAATCAATTTTCTTATTATTACATAAGCGAGTAGTATGAAAAAAAGAGAAAAAAAGCTTCGAGAATTTTCTACACACAGTGGATCGTCTTACACGTGCAATCGCATTAAAATCGCAATTCACTCGATTCCCTCGACATCGTCACGCTTGTCGTACATCATTATTCACGAATCAACTCGTGGAAAATAAGTAGGGAAGCGCTACATGCATGATACCTCGTGTACCACCCAACACAAGTATCTTTGGCTCTTCCGGGAAACGTTTACTCTTTGCTTTCCCGGCAACGGAAAGCCGAAAAGTTTTATCTCACGTTCACGACAAGAGGCGCGCACGTGTACATGCGCTACGCATCGGGCCGTGAGCACATGTATACGTGGCGACTGACATGCGTTCGCATTGGTCGAGAAAAAGAAAAGGAATGTAGTCTGTTGTTTTTACTTGGGCACGTGCGCGATCGCACGTTTGCTTTTCCTGCTTTTGTGCACGCAGCCGCGAGCGTCGCAGCCGCCGTCGCTGAGGCATCGTCGTATCGGGAATTTAGGCCACTTACGTGAGAGACGAAGAGGGAAAGGTTTTTCCATATTGTCGATTCGGCACCTGATGCAACCTGCCACGAGCCTGTAATACTCGTTCTGCCAGCAATTCCCCGGGCTTGTTGTCTTCACTACATAAGCCTTTTGCCGCTGATTCGGGGTTGCCTTTTATTTCAGATGGCAGATATGAAAAGTAAGACAAATGACAACCAAGAAGAAAAATAAAAACAAATCTTTATTTAAACTTATCGTCGAGGCAGAAACATATTTATAATTTTATAATTTTGTCAATGCAGCAATAGATTCTATAATAATGTTTAAACTACAATGTTATGATTGTTTAAGATTCTCTCTTACTTTGTTAAATAAAACGTAAAAAGTATTAAAATAATTCATTACTGCATAATATTAGGGGTTGATTTTCTTATTCTTTATTGAGATAATATGATTACTTATTTGATAGAAAGAAGTTTCTTTTCAGGCAAATTTATTGTACGACTAATGCGAAACAATTAAAAAGAAAAATAATATATAAATAGATTAAGCTAAAATGTAATTTTATTCATATATGTGGCCCTCTCATACTTATCATCGTGCCGCAATAAAATCTCAAGTATTCGTATAAAAGATTAAATAACGCAATGGAGATAAATAGAAATTAAATTGGGAAAGAAAATTGTCGTAGAACCGATATTATATGAATAATTTATAATTCAATTATGTAAATAATAATTTCACGCAGTATTAATGTATTTAATGGTGAACGCGAGCCTGAAATATTTTAATAATAGTAAGCTTTGGAAAGCTATGGTTTGTAATTAACGTGTGACGGGGTTAAATGTTTATACGAATATATGAGGATTTACGATTTAAAGTCTTCTTCTTCCAGATGTAGTGACAGTAAATCATCGAGGCAAACAGAAATACTTTTGCATGCCAATTAGAATATATGCGATTGTAGTGCGCGGTGCCAAATAGTTGTATTAACACTGGAATTAAGATATATTTGTAGGTAGTCGATAATTAATATCGTAAAGTGCAATGAAATATGTATATTATTTTATATAAATTTTTAATATGAAATATATACAATTATTTGTAGAATATATGGATATTATATTTTTGTATTTATGCACAGTGATAAGATTTTCATAGAATAGTTTATTCATTAGGTTTAGCTAAAGGTTTTATTTATTTACTTTGGATATTTTTGCTTTTGTTTTTGTTGTTGTTTGTTGTTTGTTGTTTGTTTTGTTGATAAGTCGAATATAAGATTATTCTAAAATTCATGAGTAAAAATTATTGTCTCGAACCATTAACGTGTAATTTTTAATATGAAATTCAGTAATAAACGACGAGAGTACAATTTTAAATGCATTCTAATTGTCTTTATCGTTATTATTCTGCTATTATTACCCAATAATAAATTGTGCAATAATAAATATAGTCATTGATAATACTGATGCGCTATTGGTTATATTGTCGTAGCTCCCATGATAACTGAAAAAGCTTCATTTATTAGGAAGTTGGTCGTGAGCAAATAGACGTCGATGTCTCCTCGTAATGTAATTACCGGTATTATTCCAGCCAGTCGACGTTTTCGTGACATTTCGACTGAGTGCTCGTCGCGTCCACCTTCATAGGTCACGTACACTCGTATGCGTAATCGAAGCATAATAAGAAACGTGTCTCGCGAGAAATCGATTAGAGGGAAAAAGTCGGCGGGGCAACTTGGCAGAGTCGCGTGTGCTGCACGTGTGCAAAAAATCGACGCATACGGAAGCACGCGCGCAGGCTCGGATTTATTGGCGCGTTAAAAATAGATCGACCAAGTTCGCAAAGTAATGGAAGATCGACAGGTTGTCGAGGAGGCTTCTTGGAATTAGCCCTGTGCCCCGACGGGTGATAGGGTCTTACTTCGCATGCTGGGGTTGGCCAAGCTGATATGACACAATATGGATTATCAAGTTCAGATGTATCGTGAACGATTGCCAAGATTAGCTTCACGTTATCTTGAACTTTCTTAAAACCGATATTACCAAGAGGAAAAACATTGACATTTCGGAACAAGAGACAGACGGAGAGAGAGAGAGAGAGAGAGAGAGAGAATAATCACGTATCTATAAAACTAGTCATTAAATATCAAACGATTACAAATTCAATATTTACATACTCTTTCTCAACTTTGAATGAGCTTAGAATTATATACTTTATATATTTTAAGTATTGCTACTGCTCGTAAAAATGTAAATTTGAAAATCTCCCTGTCACTAACATCGTATTTTACATATCATAAAATTTAACGCAAATTTACATTTTATGTCGAAAGACTTGAAAATTATTTAGTTCCATGATATATTTAATATAGATAAGATCATTTAAATCGTAGAACTCTTAATTAGAAAAACTTAGATCTTTTAACCAGATCTATTTGTACTTTAGTATTATATTTATCGATTTAAAACTATTTGCCATTGTTCACATTCAATAGTTCCTGTAATTGGATAATTTAATGACTTGCATAATGTCGATGAAATATTGTAAATTTTCTTCAAGATTTTGTCCACATTAATTTCTTAATCTATTAAAGCTAAAAGTATAATATACCATTATCTAAAATTGTACATTTTTCTGGTAATAATAATATTTATTAATATGATAAAATATCTTCTCCATCCTCTATATTTGTAAGGGAAAGATATTTAATGTAATTTTGTTACATACCTATGATTTATCTATGATTTATCAATTATTAATTTAATGCTTCGTTAGTGATTCGATAATAAGATTTCCTACGTATACAATTAAAATTTTATTGTTTATATACTTTTCAATATAATTTGATAATAATCAGCACAATGAAATTTAATATATCGTGGAATAATTGTACAATGCCTATTATTATAATTGCCAAATGATTTATCTAATTTTGCAATTTAATAATTTTATTTAAAACTATAAAATTTATCATACAAAAACTTGTTAATGCTCAATGCGTATATATTTTAATAATCAAATATTTTTTAAAATCAACATTATAAACTATCTATTGTAGTTTATATTTTTGTTATAAACACCTGGCTATGTAATATATCCTTCTTGTATTAACGAATTTAGTTTATTCGTTAAATTTAATGATCAGCGCAAAAATTACAGTGATGTTTGTATTATTTAAAAATTATGCATTACATATATTTATCCAAAAAAAAAAAAAAAAAATGCTAAGTAACGTATCAAACGTATATGAAAAAAAAACTTACAACAATTTAAAAGAATTTAACTTACTGAATAGTAAATAAATGATTTATTTATACCAAAATATTATTATTTTTATAATTTATAACGTTTATAATACTTTTTCTATCAATTGTAGATTTTTTAATTTACTGAACTTTAAACAACATATTCGTTTCACTTTCATTCATTTTGTAAATATACATTTTAAGTTGTTAAAAATTATTTATTGTATGCATTTAATTAGTATATTTTTTTCAAGTTTTGAAATAGAAAATTTCACAAGTTTTATAATCAAAATGTTCTTAAACATCTTATTTTTATTATGTTATTAATAATTTATAAATATAATTTTTATCAGAAAATTTATTATATTATCTCTATAATATTGTTTATATATTTGTAATATTATCTCATTGTTATCTCTATTAATTTCAATTTAATGCGATTAGTTTTCAGCAGAATAATATTTAGAATTGAAAATTCTTGAAGAACATTTATTGTTTAATAGTCATATTGGCGTGTAATTGTTTTTATTTTTATTTATTTATTTTTTTTTTATTTTATTATTATTTTTTTTTTTTTTGTAATAAAATAACTATATATTTTCTTGCAATTAATCATAGTTTTGGCTTAGATATATAACTTTGTAAGAAATGGCGAGAGTAAAAGTTTTAAATCGTGCCATTATATGCATTTACATATTTCTTTTATGGTAGAAGATATTACATACTTATTTACCAATTACAACAACATGAAA